AYRWTTRGCAGGCCATGGACCTCATGGACGTCTTTTGTATATGCTGCGAGATAAACTATACCCTTACYCGTATACCAACCTACCCGCACCTGTAGACCGAAACGGTGTATCTTATATAAGATCGGTCTATTACCATTTTGACCGAATTCGTCGAAAGCCTATAACCACTGTTTCTTACAATATCTTCTGTTTCATACTTTTATAAGAATTCTATTCATTTGAATTCGCAAAGAARTGCACAAAAATCCACTAAAAATAACAAAACCTGCTCGCTGCTATTGTATGGACGTGTGAGGACGCTGGGGTTGATTTTACGTTAAGACGCAACAACTCAGTAGTCGTTATTAATAAAGCGACATGCAAAAAAAACGTAATCAAGTTCCGAACTCTTTTTACGTCAGAAATTCCAGCTGAAATGCATGTTCTCTTTAGTTCAGATTAGCCAATAGTTGATGGTGGGCCTTTTTGCTGATTATCACGAAGCTTCAAGACGCAGTAAAAAGGATCAGGTTTAGCTCGAAGAATTTGTACAGCAATCGTTCTTACCAACATTGCCCCCAATCGGTTTAGAAWAGTCGTATTTGGTAACTTCTTCCTTCTCTCTCCAGTCCACAAAACATCCTTTAAAGTCCACTGGTTCAATGTTTTCCGGGACAATAGTAATCTGAGTTGTTGGTGCCATTCCCTTCTGTCTAATAAGCTCCTACAAAACAAAACAGTGTGATCATTTAAATATAAAGAAACTATATTTAAAGCAATATATGGTGGCTTTCCGTGCCTTTATTGATAATATAAAGTTAGCATTTGCGTATGTTCGGAAAACACTCAAAACATCAAAATCACTCAGTTCATTTATTTATTTATTTATTTATTTTTCGTTCTCCCAAAATTCCCGCGCGTGTGCTTTATTTTACCGATAAACGCATGGAAATCAATCCTTTGTTGCACACGTACAATTTTCAGAATCTTTCGGCAATCTGTAGATTTTTTAGTCACTCTTAATAAAAAACAAAGGTATATTTCATATAATTCGGACATTTACTAAAAATCATTTGCACTCATGACAATTCTTCCAATAGGCAATGTGCAGCGMCKCCATTTTGTGCAGCAAAGCATGATSGTACTCGTAGTACTCGTACTTATTAGAGAGCCTAAAATATCTCCCTAAGAGCCGTTTTTACATTTTCTTGGTAGGAACGGTACAACTACTTCTATTTTTGCTTTGAAAAAGGAAAAACTGCTTAGGAGGACTGTTGTAGCGGACAAAAGCACGAGGACTACAACTACCATCATGCTTTGCTGCGCGTCGCAGCACATTGCATAATATGAATTCTGTTAATTCATTTTTAGGACTTTTTAGTCAATATGAGTTAATTTAAAAAACGTCATTGACTTTATATTTTGTTTGAAACATATACTATCAAGGGATAATAATTTTTGCCAGTAACAAAAATATTATTACCAAGTCTAAACGCTTGAAAAGAAACACAATGAACTCTAAAATCTATCTTTTGCTCAAGTTTTKCCCCATTCAATTATYAACTATRGTACCTGAGCTTTTGCGAGGGCTCCCCTTTTCTCCTCTTTRCTTGATTTYCTTCCTTTCCATACGTAGACGTTTTTTGCTGTTTTAAGAACAAAACAGTCCTGTCGAAAGAAGGCGCTCGTTAAATGATGAAATGATCCAATTTCAAAAATGTTGGCATTTTGAAAAGKTATAGACCATATATAGGTGAGACCAAAGAGGACGACGGGATTGGTGAAGGAATATCAGACGCCATGATGATGGTTTTCATAATGTAATACAAATTAAGCATGCGGTCTTCTAGGAGGCACCCAGTTTTGTAAATGATACTTTTGGTATTTTCTTGTAACGATTATAAAGATAAGCATACAAAAATTTGTTTTCGTCATAGCCGAGGTTGACCATATCCAACACTATAATCAGGCTTTAAAATAACCCGTCCCTTGAAGACTGCTGGGTAATTTGCATTGCAGTGTGGTTTATGTTGAATAACAAACTGTTGTACAGTAATTTGTTCTTACTCCACTATCGAGGGATGATTGCTTGACTGGCACATTTTCGATRCTTCTGTCGTGGACCCTGTCAATTAAAACGTCATGCATCAATTACGATTTTTATATCGACACCYACCACAAAAAGCCATTCTCGTACTCAGATCCTTCTACCAACGGAAAAAAAATGTAGGAGCCTTTTTAAACTGAGAAGGATCTGGGTASGAGAATGGTTGAAGAAAGGTTGTCAATGCAATTTGTCATAAGGCGTTGCTGCACTTGCAACAAAGAAATCATGATTTGATASAAAGATTTGATACGAAACAATTGCACTTACCGACACAACTCCGTCGTTTTATCAACTTCTGAATCTTGTTGTTCATCTGTGACTTTATCCATGCCTTCAAACTTGATTGGTCTTGTTCGACTCACWCCCAACGAATCGTGAAGTAYCTTGTTTTCTTCTTCACCGCATGAGCTGATCTCATTCTCGTCTACACGAAAATCGTGTATMAGTTAATTTCATAGGGTTACCATGGCAGCATGTTAGTCACGTGACTTACCTAGGACAACTACTCGAGACTGAAACTTACGGGCCATCTTTATTGCCTGATTAAGAGAAAATTATATATCATAATACAGTCAATGGGTTGCTTTGACGATATGTCGGGAGCACATGTAGAAATATTTGACTTTGCCATTCTTCCGGCTTTGAGTTATTACCGACAATTGAATACAGACAAAGGACAAAGAAATGACGGCAAGCGTGCATGTCCGTTGAGCGATAGTTGATTGTTGAAAAAACGCTGTCGGCTTCACAATGGAAACTTTTATTATTAAAGATATTACAGCTGTAAAGTTGAATTATAGAGATTTGCCTATAGAACCTATACTCGTAGACGAGGCCATTTCTATCAGTTGATGTAATTTTTATTTGAAGATGATGTAAATATCTTTTTAACACCATTTTTTAATATCTAAAGCATGCATTACTTTATCGGTCTGTTTGGATGTTCAGTTGTGGTATTACATTACCTTCGTAGCTTCTTCCTTGTTGGATTTTCCTCCACGGAGAACAAAAACACATTTGTGTTTTCTGGCTACATCCAGAATGTAGCAGTCGTCGGGATTGAGTGAGGAGGTCCGGCTACTTACCTACAAGAAAGAACAAGTTTGAATCTAATTTTGAGAGAYCATCGAGCAGAATTACAATCTAAACGAACACATTTCTCTCATCTACTTTTTTTGCTTGTGTTTTTTGTATATATTTTTTATTTCTTTTTTACTGTACAAAGGTGGGTAATCAGGGACTCTCATGGACCTCAGAGCATGCGCACACCGGCTGGCACTTTAGTCAAGCAGCTAAAATGCTAAGCCATTATCGACAGAAATCATTAACACGACAAAATATAAAATAGATAAACACATAAACAAACCTCTAGTCTCCTCTCAGACGTGTTTAGCTTTAGAGGCTGCTTGACGTGTGCCCGAAACTAAACACGGCTGTGAAGAGGCTAACGTACCTCGGAAACCACTGGCCTTAATTTGCCTTTCACTTTGTACAAATGGGCTGGCTCGTTTGATACGCTGATTTTTCTCATTGCAGTYTTGTGTCCTCCATCTTTGATTCTAGAAATCAATGGTAAATTATCATACAGTTATTATGATAAATTATGATACAGTTATTTTTTGACGTGCAGCTCAAGAATCCACTATCTGCGACCACCAACCAGCCGAGAAATCACTATATTGCCTACAATATATACTACAAGCCAAACATGCTCGATCTACTAACTAAGTTGTTGGTCTAGTCTGCATCGTTGCAGGGGCAAACCAGACCAGCAAATGATCAAACAGACATATACAAATCAAATCAACCTGATCATCCAGTCAAACTATGCGAGCTATAATTTTGGTTCAACTAAAAAGAAATTAAATGGAATGAGATCGAAATAGTGTGTTATAATCAAAACACGCCGGTTGGAAAGGTGTGGAGACTTCAGTCCCTTTCTGGGTAACTCAATGTCCTGTTTTCGTAGCATGCAATGAATATGGAAGATCGCTAGGCATGGATGGTCAAGGGTGTAATTATGGTACGTGGCTAGTCACTCCCCTGCTTGAGGGTTCATATAATATAGAAATAAAAGATATGATATCGCAAAAATAATTTTAAGAAGAAATTGCATCTTAATAAGACTCGTTCTGCAAAACAATTAATACAGCATCCATCGGAAGAAATTGATTTTAAACGGCATCCCTAAATCTTTATAATTCTTCTTTAAGGCGTTACCCACTTTGYAAAGTTCTGGAATTATGATTCAGCACTGCAAAATAACAGATCTAGCCTAGCAACAATCACAAACTATACACTTTCTAAAACAAGCTGACTATAGATGTAATACAAGTGGTAATTTTTCAATGGTAACAGTATCTTACATTATGTTATCCTTGAACACCTCCTTGAAACGTGGCGTCTCAGAGCCAGTTACCTAAGACGATTCACAATTAGTAAACGAACGTCTTACTGCAGCTTTATTGTGGTCACAGTTTTTGAAAAGGCATCATAAATTTCAAAGACATGTAGTCATCCATTATTTTTCTTCTTTACCTCGCGAACTTGAATTGCGGATCCTCCACAAACTTCATCATCCATGTCAACGGTTGCCATAGCAGCAAAAGCTTGCTCATCCTARGGGGAATCTGTCATTAGGAACTCTGCTTCGCCTCGTGATAGATATTCAATTATTTAGTTTACTCACCTGAGAAGAGTCTTGTCCGATCCAGAAGTAAATATAGTTCGTACCTTTATTCTGAAAAAAAATCCATTTTTCAGTTTACTAAGTGAGACGTGAGATGCGCAAGTTCCTTTTAGAATAAACTCGAGAAAAACTRTCATCACTCATTTATTTAGGTACGTAAGGAGAGCACGCCATGCATCTCTCTGAACAGATATATGTATTTTATCCACAAAACCTTCTTCCGCGCTGATTGGCTTATTAGACTGCTGACCATCACGTCTTGAGCGCATGCTCAGTTGAAAGGAAATAATAATTTGTAAACTAAAAGTTTTAGAAGTTTGTTAAAAGAAAAAATTGCACACGCACGCGTTATATGTCCTCTAAAATTGACATTCTCTTGACGTCATAAAATGTTCATAGTTTGCCGGTGAACTCATTTGAGTTTTGAACATTTTATGACGTCATGAGTATGTTTTGTATGACGTCATGATTATGTTTTGAGGACAAAATCACCGTGCTCAATTTGTTAGTAGTTTAGGACCACGAACGTGCCATGAGTTGGCAAAGCACCGGATCTCATTCATGGAGAGCGCGCGTATATCATTGAACAATTATGAATGCTCAAAGATTTAGCGGGCTTTTGATATTACAGTGACGTCATTAACAGTACCCACCACTGAAAGTATTACGTAACAGTCTCCTTTGTAAAATATTCCAACATCGTCTTCTTTCACTTTTTCCAGAGTCAATTGCTGCATAATGTAACGAAATTACATTCAGAGAGCTGTACAATATTCTTTATTTATTTCATAAAAGCGACAACGCCCCTAGTAACGACTATTTGATATAATTTATGTATTTTCCTCTAATTTTTTTTCCCCGCGTAATTTCATTGAAACGTCCAACGAACACAACGTTACAGAGCGCGGGCACTGGTTCTGACCAATCAGAGAGCACGTAAGATTAAATGTTGTTATCCGTGCGTTTCTCGACCAATCCAAGAGCGCGTAATATACCAAATATGATATAAAAATGTATAACTCGCACTTTCCGTGGAATCCTCACGATAAAAGTGAAAGGTCTCTCCTGAAAGAATCTCTTTGCAGGTCGTTTTCATCAATAGCAAAATCACAGTTACTGGTGACACGGTAGCCTTTCTCGTTTTTTTGAAGTTCCGTTTGTTGTGAATATTACAAGTTAAAACCTAAAATGCGAACATACCTTAACTCTCCATACAGCRAAACCTGATTTTCGACCTTGCATTGCTTCATATTCCTGTCTGGCCTCTTTAAGTGTATCTTCACCTGCATTTCACATTAATTAGAATTATTAGAGGACTTCGTAAATGTGGTGTTAATGATATTTTTATATATGGTACTTCATGTGCCGCCCCTCCCCACAAATTAGGTGAAGGTGTATCTCACACATGACATCTCTGCAAAGAAGGCATCTTACAAACAAGCTTAACCGAGAGAGCAATGTCCACTTTAAAAATATTAAGGTGCTGCATGTGTAGTTTTCTTGGCGCTGTGAGACAACTTGCTGTACGATTGTATTGTATAACAGTTTTTGTGCCTAGCGTCGTGCGAAGTAGAACCCGAGTCTACCTTTTGCAACGCACATRGCAGCAACTTTCAACTTCATTTYACAGTGCAKTATAACGCATGTACTTTGTGAGTGCATCAAGCCCTGTTACACTGTGCTATTCTAAASTAGCCGCTGACATGCAAGTTGCCGATAAAATCAGCTGCACAATGTAACAGCTCCACTATGGAAAGACAGGAAAAAAAATTCCGGAAGAACTTCATACGTCAATAATACGTCAAATTTCGGTCGTTGATCTGTTGATTTTAGCTTATATAATGTCGGGAGACATAGCTAACATAGCTAACATAGCTGTATAGCTTCATGAAATACAATGCTCACTCACACCATTTGAAGGCTGAATCCCTTGAGGCGATAACGTAAATAAAGGTTTTTCAATAAGGACAAGATTTACGAGATTCTAAAATGGCGATTACCATCATGCATTGCAGTCAGGGTATAAATATTTATGACTGCGTCGCGCTTAGATTATTGTAATTTCTTCTAGAGTTTTGCATAAATGCACCCTATTGTCTCATGTTATATCGTGTGGGTAATTATATACAAGATTCAATCAGTGGTTTTAATGATAGATCATGCTAGAAAAATGGAATAAAAAAACWCTAWAYGCCAAGCTCAACAATTCTGGCCGCTTCGCAAATACTTGATTTTTTAGACCAAATATTAACAAATTTAATCTTGAATTTCGCATTTTGTTGAACTTATTATTATTCAGCGCAGGTTTAATACTCTTTGGATGAGGATTTTGCATCTTGTTTGCATATTTTTTAGGAGAAAATATCCAACTTAAATCAGAGAGAAATTTTTGACACCTATAGCAACCGCAGAACAATTCGCTCGTTAATTAAAATTCAATTATATAGTCATTTCTGAATAACTAAAATGCACTCGACTTAAAATATTTGTCCTGGACTGCAAAATTCAAAAACTTCAAACTGAGACGATGGACTTACTCCAAGAAAGGAAAATATAAAACCATAGAGATTATTTAGTCATAATAGGAACAATGTGACAGAAGTGATAATTGATAATCGTTCAAGTTAAAATTACTTCATATAAAACTGTATATTTTGTTTGAAAACATTGTACATTCATATTGTTCTAAGCATAGCTTCAATTGATATTATTCTTGTGATTCATATTGTACTTCTTTTAAAACTTAGATGAGTTTCGCCGTCAGGGTAATGAAATAAGTGTTTATTTAGAAGTTTGAGTGGTCTAGCGCCAAACCATTGCGAAAACCCTTCATTCTTGAAAGCTGATACGCTTTTCATGCTTGATAAGACAGCACACCTTAATTAATACATATTTGTTTTTCGTACTACATAGTTTATATTATCATTTAGCTGCCTGTCTGTTGTAAAAATCCGGAATAGATAAATAAAGTGTTTGGGCTCCCATGGCACCTGCGAGCTTTGTATATCGACGCTTTGTGAAACCCGGTTGAGCTCATAAAATATGAAAGACGCTCATCTAATTTCAAATTTTGAAAATATAATATWGAGTACGTAAACATAAGTAGAAGTTTGGAAGTTTTTTTCTGACTGAAGATACTGATCAATTTTCTCCTGCAGTTTTACAGAGAAAATAAAGAAAAACGAAAATGAGTTCTTGTGTCATTTGGAAAATGGGTTATCTACAATAATATAATGTGCTTATCGTTCTGTCCACAGGAATAACATACCAGTATATTTAATATTATTTTTCTAAAGGAACTATGATCCATGCCTACAGTATATAAATAAAACCGCAAAATAGTTTTTTTTTGTACAATTGTTATCGAASTTATACACTTACCCAGTGCATCCATTTTGCTTTTGGAACTTTTTAGAGAACTTCAACAAAGATCGAAAAGGTTTGGACGATGACAGCCACAGACGCCAAATCAAGCGGCAAATTGTTATTATGGTTAGTTATAATACAATATCCGGGACATTAGTTAGTGGGGGCGTCGGTCATTCTTTTGTACCCAGTTGTCACGTCACAATGAAAGAAAATGACGCAAAAAGGACCATCAATACTATAATGCTCTTGGGTCGYATCGCCAGGGATCCTAACTAAAAATGTACATACAACGTCGACTGCTTAAAACCTCGAATATCATATGTGTTGAATTCAATGCAAGGTGTATGCTACAATAGATTGTAACATTTTGCATTGCATTCGTCATAAAACTAAATGCAAAAAAAAAACCCTGCAATTTTCATAGAGAAATAGGAATTCTATATTTAGTATAAAGGAATGTATGTTAAAATATACTAAAGAAAGTGTTCGGCTCGAGTGATCTTTTGTCATTTTAATGAATTCCATTTCACTAAAGTTCAAATATAATTTGACTTTGATCTCTATAGCAATATTTTATGTATTTTAGATACGTACTTGAAACAGTTTGTACAAACTTCTAACTGGACGCAGAACTAGTATGGAATTAAGACCAAATATGTTTTTCATAATCTAATTCCAGAAGCATGCGCCGTAGTGCTTTTTGGCCATCGAGAGACGCCTCACCGGCTGCGCACCAAGAGTGTGATGAAACTTGATACATAACATATGTATTCTTATATTTATTTATTTGTTTATTCATTTATCGTGATGTATTTTACTGTGTTTCCAGTTTGTCACACCTACTTGGCTTATATATTCATTGACGTTCTAACCTCCTATCTTCTCTAATATGTCTATTAACTTTCAATAAAAGGGTATGTAAAGCATTTATTTACAACAAAGATTTTCGCCGGAGGCTGCTAACCCAAGCATTTCCACTACAGTTCTAGGGTTTTCCACTTTGCTTCGAACGATACAATTCAAGTTGACGTCATAGTCAGTTATTTATAGTGAAAAATTCGTTGATCGCTCATATCTACATATAAGGGTATAAAAACTGCACACAGAGTGCTTAGTTAAAACATTTTACGAAAACATTGTCTAATTCTCTATAACTCTGTTAAGGTTTGTCTGTTGGGGGTCACTTGTGCCCGTTTCCTCGTTAAAATGAGCATCAAAGTTTTGCCCATATATGGCACTGGTTGGATACAGCGTTTACGCTTGAGATAGAGCGCAGCAAGGTTCTAAACGTCATATATATTTTAACATATCATGAGTTTATAAACCTTCTAGAAGTCATTCAATTYTACTGATAGTTTCCTGGTCGTTAAAGGGATATTTACTCTTAGTTTTAAACAACATCAGAAACATAAAAAAAGCTGTGAATTTGCATGCATTTGTCTGGAGGATTATGTATAAAAACGGTATCGATTGAAACGGTACGATTTGAAATTTCTCACGACTCTAATTATATCCCCTGCATGATCCATGTAAACGGTTACTTGCTTTGTGTTTGAAGTCATAGCAGACAAAAAGATATAATCATCAAGGGTTTTTTTCACATGATACCCCACAGAACCATAAGCCTTGGAAGTTTCCACGCGGGGGCAATTTTTTAATCTGAATGACGACGTAGGCAGGAATGTGCATCGCCACCGGTTCTTGAATGATCATTTTCTAGAAACTTTTTTGGCCGGTATAGACTCTATTTATACCTTTGTCTTTGATGAAGGGGAACAATCATCCTTCCCTAAGCATCAGTACCTAATCATTTTTTAAGAGTTAGGTTAATTATATATAATGATAGTAATTGGAAGGATTTCGGAATCTAACTAACAATATTAGTATTATAGTAAAGTATGAAGACAAAAAAACTCAGCGGAAGAAGATAAAAAAGCGCCGACAAAAAAGAAAGACCATCGAAAAAAGTATGCAATTGTTGATGATGTACGATTTGCTTAGAAGAGTCATATCATGTTTCAACAACGATTATCAAGGCGGGAGGAAATATTTTAGTGTCATTTCGATTCTTTTTTGACATAGTGGAAAACAAATTTGCAAGTCAACCTTTGGGCTACCTATATGTTCTGCCAGTATGGTGCCCAGGCCCCTGTCATTCGACGTTCTTAGTAGCCAGGCCTCTTTATTCAACATGGCTGACTTTTCGTGATCTTTGTGTTTGGTAAATTGAAGATAAAAACAGTGCTATYTTCACGTGAAAATGCCAAGAAAGGTATGAATCTTAGTAATTATTACAGAAAGATAATACCAAGAGCATGCGATTTGTGGCTAAAGTTTAAATCAAACCAAGGAGGTTAAAACGATCAATTGCTAAACTATTCTGTCATCTTGAACATCTATTGTAGCCTAACATGATTTAAAATTATTTTTATTTTTTCTAGAAACGTGGACCTAAGCCAAAATCTGACACTGAAAAGGCAAACGAAAGCACAGATCAGAGTTCCCCTGCTGARGAAGTGCCACCTAGCAATGAAACTCCTGTCAAACTTGATCCAAGTAAAKTGCCATTTCCTATGAAAAGACCCAGAGGTCGTCCAAGTAAGAAATGGCAGGAGCAATTAGCATTGGCCATAGCTGAAGGAAGAGCTGTCCCAATAGAACCAAAAACTAAGGTTAGATARTGTATTTTATTCAAATTATTACAACACAGATTATTGTGTATTACACAAATTAGTACACAATCATTGAATTTGATCATTGAAAACCCTCTCTGCTAGAAACCAACTGAAGGTTTAATACAATGTCACTGTTTCATATTATGGACATGTTAACTATATGTTCATGTGTGGCTATCTTACAGAAAAAAAGAGGTGAGAAAGGAGAAAAGAAAGAAAAGGGCCCCAAGAAAGACAAAAAAGAAAACAAAACACCCAAAACTACAAAGACACCCAAAAAAGAAAAAAAGGAGAAAGAAGACCTTCCTGAGGTTAAGCCTGAATCAGCACAACAACCCAGCGATGAACCAGACAAGGAGCCAGCTCCTGAACCTGAAGTTGTYGTCAAAAAACCTCAAAAGAGTCCTACACTGATWTATTTAGAGAATCTAAAGGCATTTTTAGATAAACTATACGAGTTCCAATGGCCTCAAGATGTTAATGGAGAGTTCTATTTATTAGAGAGCCAGTTAAGTGATTTTCTTGGCATTCCTTCATTGTACACCAAACATACAGGTTTGTAWCTTGTAATTCCATGTAACAATTTTGTTTCAAGTGTCTATACATTACATGTGCATGTACAACTATTTTATTCAAATCAAGAATTGTGTCCAGTAGGTGCGTGCGTGTAGCTTGCCACATGTTCAAGTTAGTTTACCTTTCAATACTATAATGATGGTATTGCCTACATGTTATTGTATTTTTTCCCTAGATGTTGTTTTTCATGAGTTATCTGATGAAGCTAAAGAATTTCTAAAAGAAAAAAAAATTATATCTGAAGTCCAGCAAGCAAAGTGTAAGTGTTCCATATATGGCCATWTAGGGCAATCAATAATAGTTTCACTGAATTTTGATTTGAGTGATATAACAGATATTTTATTTTTAACTCTTTTTTTCCTTCTTTTGGATTCCTTTGTAATGGTCATCTTCGGCGCTAGAGACTAGTGACATGCTTTTACATTCGACTTTTATTTAAGTCCAAAGTTAATTGTTTACTGGCATTTTAATCTAAAAAGTCATAAGTTTTACATAAACATGTTTCTCATGTCTTCCATATTCAACTTTTTTTTATAGAATGAGACTTTCCTATATTTTTAGAAGTTGAAAAGAGTAACTAATTAAAATAAAATAAAACGATCATTGCAATTCCTTATCTTATTCTGCACTATTTGTAATACTGTAGGCCAGTGGTCCATTTTRACTGACGATGCCACTCAACTCATACTGGATCATTATCCCACTAAATATCAGGTACAAAGGAACCGATGCATCATATTTGAAGAATATGTTTAAAGTACAGTAAGAGGACAATATACTTAATTTATTGTGGCATGCATTGTTTATACAGTATTTTCACAGCAATGAGAATATTTCACTTACAGGACATTACACAATATTCCCTCCAACTGCTCCCATCCAAAACAAAAATCACTGTTGTTCACCTTTGATACAATATTTTTCACAGCAATGATAATTGTTCACTTAAGGTACATGTAGGAGGTTACAAATACTTATTGTTTCAGGATTATCTTCAAATAGCCCACAAGAGAGAAAAATACACTTTATTAAAGAAGGTAGAAGATGAAAAAGTGAGTGAAAAAATTATCATGATTTACAGTACTTGTTATTGATAAATATACTTTTCAAATTGTATYGTATTTTCTTGTTTTTGAAGTTTGGAGCGAAGCTTATCGTAAATTCAGATTAAGTATGTAAAAAAGATGAATTTCTACTTTTTTATACCAGGAAAATGCAAAGAAACCAATAGGTTATATTTTATCAATTTGTATAGTGTTTTTGGTTTGTTTTCAGACTGCCAAAGAATCCAAAAAGATACCTAACCCTCTAAAGAGAGCTTTGAAAGATGCTGTAGAATTCAATGCTCAGTTAGCCCAGCAACGAAGAGAAGAAAGATGCTCTTACTTTGACATGCAAACACAGGTAGACAACTATCAATAGTCACTTTTGCTATGCTTTAAATATGAAAAAAGACAACTTATTTTACTTATTACTTTTTAATTCATTACAAGTTTATTTTTAAATYMAAGTTTCATGATATACAGTAATCAYTTTGCATGTRAATGCTTCTGARGAAATTATATRCTAATTTATGCTTGATCTTCYAGATAATCCATGTTCCTGTTAACAARACATCAGCACTCCCAAGTCATATGACAGTTCCAAGCAAATATCCAGTTGCTTTGCTGCCAGGACAGTTCCAGGAGTTTTTCAAAAGGTCAGAATTAGAGAAGTGAAATACCAATACAGGAAGCTGCATTAGAACGTTACAGAAAAATGTTACTTTAAAAAGCTTTTAAAAACTTATACTGTTGTTAGCGAACAATAATGGAGTAACACATCACTATGAGGAAACATAAAACATTCAACATTAAGAAAACCTTCAATTTATATTACTTGTAGTTGTTTTTTAAACTTTGTTTATTTCTTAAAGCTACACCCCATCACTGCTTCGAAGTTTTCCACTCGGTACTGTCCTKGACCAGTATTTCCGCCAACAAGCTGCTGATGCCAACATTGACTTCTACAGAGATTCATTGGATGGATCAGAGGTAAACAAAGTCATGTATTAACTAAGTCATGGTAAAGTGACTGTTAATCAATTCCAAGATATTTCTAAGAGAAAGAGAAATCTGCCTACTGGGAAAAAAACTCCTTGAACAAGCAAATGAAGTAACAAGTACAGCTGTACAACATGTACTGAAACAGAAACACACTTTGATGGAAACAGCTTACACAAAAATAACTCAAATCAGTATATAACTACAGTGTTGAAAGGATTTTAACCATTCACTTGACTCTTTATTTTAAGCATCACTTGCACTTGTGTTTTTCAGTCTTCTTCATCATCATCTTCGTCTGGTGATAGTGATAGTGATGAGAGCAGCAGTAGTGGCGAAAACAGCAGTGAGGAGCAAATGAGTGTTGATGAGGATGAGCCTGTCAGTGAACCATCWAGCAAGAGGAAGTCCCATGGCTATAAGGTACACATTATGGTCAGGTTATTTTATCATAGAATTATCTATGAAATACCTATATTTCTCCATTTCATGAATTGATATTTAAACTAGTGAAAGATAGCTGAAATGGTGGGAACTAGCGATAAGCTAGTGTGAGCTGCGTCAGTGTTTCTAAAGAAACAGTTGTGTAAAAAGATAAATTAAACACCGTAAAAAAGTAGGAGAGTAACTTACTGACGTTTCGGACGTTAATCCTTCGTCGGAGTAWAWGATAACTGAGTTATTTGTTGACAGTTTGTGAAAAAACATCCCTTTACAAATAATTATGTTGTTTTATAAATATAACTTTAGGTGCATATTTCTATTAAATTGTGTAGAACTGGAGTACTGCAGGTGTACTATTAATAATATGATCTTGCAAGACGAAGTTGATGGAATACAATTTTCTGGATCATCAGTTTGATAAACAGTTTGATTGATTCTGACTTTTCATTTTATATTACATTATAGCCACCACATAGGCCTGGGGCACTATGTGGTATATGCTTAAAGGGTTCTGAGTGCAATAAGAAGGGGTACCAAGAAGACTTGATYCATTGTTCACAGTGTGAGAATAGTGGTAAGTGTGATTCAAAAAACGCACTGGACTGCAAATATTTACCTAGAATTATTTCACTTCAAAATAATCATTCATGTACCAAGACATCATATTACAGGCTTATACCCTGTGAATTGTTGATTTTCACGATCTCTTTTACACTGTGTTTAATTGTGCCTTAATTGTGTGTAAAAATAATATGCAGAAATTAAGATAAAACTCATATGAGAGATTTCAAACTATTTTCATTGTCTTCTATACTCACAGATCTCTTGTACTTTCAAGGGCCGTTACTGAATAAAAGAATATGTATTACATGGTTTTGAGACTATTGTAAAAGCAATCGTTAAAATAGTGTATTGGAGAGCCATATGATGGCTGTATTAAAATTGAAAAGATAACAGGGATATGAAAACTGAAAGCCACACTTCAAACTTCCAGTTTTTGACCTCATTTTGTATCTGCATATTGCATCAATCATTAGGTCATCCATCTTGTCTTGACATGAGTCTACAACTAGTCAAAGTTATCATCACTTATCCATGGCAGTGTATGGAATGCAAAACTTGTACTCAATGTCGTGACCCTTTTGATGAGGTAAGAATGTCATCATCATTCATTATCCCCATCTTCCCTAGTGGGAAATGGGGCCGCTACACGGTGACGCCGAGGTAAGAATGTAACCCCTTTTGATTTACAATACACCATGCTTGATAATGGGCTGGTTCCTTCTTAGACTTGCTCCAAGTCTGGTTGGGATTTCACCTCTCAGAAGATGTAATCCACTAGGCTTGTTCAAAACAAAAGAAGAAAATGACAAAAAACAAAACAAAACAAAAAAATCTTGCATTGTTCTATTAGAATGACACAGCCAATCATAGAATTCATTCCAAGTGAGGTGAAGACCTTACTTCCAAGTCTTGCTACAGTATTCCCATTTCTTAGGTTTCCTGTGCTGTGATTCAAATTCACAGTTATCAATGTGATGCTTTCTGAGGAACAAGACATAAAGGAGGGGAGAAAAACGTTGAAAGAAAAACACTGAGAGAAAAACATCAGTTTGTCATGCATTTTCCTTATTATGTTCACAGGACAAGATGTTATTTTGCGATGAATGTGACCGTGGCTATCACAGTTTTTGTGTTGGACTTAAACAGATCCCAGTTGGTTAGTTATTTCATTGGAAACTAAACCCAAAAACTATACAGAACATAATTTATAAGAGGTTTTGTAAACTTTATTATTCCAGGCCGATGGACTTGTGAGCTGTGTGGAGTCTGTGCTTCATGCTTACGTCGCACTCCAGGAGAAGGCCCAAATTCTAGATGGAAAAGTGAGGTATGTTAATCATTTTTGATTATTTTCATGGTGAGGTGTGGTTATTACATGTATTGACTTTTGGAGGTACTTGATTGTATTAGAATGAAGGTRATAATCTTTTCTGTTTTCTCAGTACACCAAGCCACGTGACAAGTCAGAGCCACAGTTTTTGCAGACTTTGTGYTCACCTTGTTCAAGGTAAATACTAGAAGAAGTTGTAGTACAATGCAATGTTATAATACTATTTTTATAAAGAACAGTGATGAAATTTTAATAACTTTTGAAGAATACTGGTCTATATGATGATCACAAGTTACTCCTCCCCAAAGCAAAAACAAACTCTGGCAAGCGGTCATTTTCCTTTCTTGGAAGTTCTTTATGGAATAAACTCCCTAGCCGCACCACAAAGTGTTCAACTCTTAAGTCCTTCAAAGCACATATCTGGGAACTCGCAAAAAACAAACTCTTTGCTTCTAAGGAACTTAAGACTCAAAGACTTTTTTAACATTTCTTTTACTTTTATATATTTGCTACCCTATGGGCCAGATTGGAAAAAAGCTTCGATTTATCTGTTTATCACCCAATAAAGTTTATTATTATTATTATTATTATTATTATTATTATTATTATTATTATTATTATTATTATTATTATTGTTATTATTATTATATTTTCTGTCGTATTTTACTAGGTTGTTCAGAACTGGAAACTTTTGTCCAGTATGCCTGAAGGTTTATAGGAATGATGAGTCAGATCTACCAATGGTTTGTTGTGATGAGTGTGATAGATGGGTTCATACTGGTAAGTTCCGAGAGACAAATCGTACATATTTAAAGTATAGTTTAAAACATGATCTCGAGTGTTTTAAACAGCTTCAAAAACTCCAACACTAATTTGGAACTCAAATCTGTTAAATTTCTTGGAGAAATTGACGTTAATATGTTCTGAGATAAATAGGGCAAACTGATCATGTGCGAATCACTTTACAAAGCACAATTGCCATCCCACATTGAATACGCATAAAGTAAAATAAAACCACTCTTGGCTGTTCACTGAAATCGGTTGACATCCTGCATTGGTCAATGATCAGGTTTCAAACCTGAGACCTTTGCAAGGGTCATGGACCTTTATATCTGATAAAGGTCACCCTTATTAGTATTCTTTATATAAAGAATACTAATAAGGAGTGTTTTATCAGATATAAAGGTCCATGCATGTGACCAAATAGGCTCATTCTATTGGCCTAGTAGCTCATTAATTATGTAGATTTACTTTTTGTACTGTACCTTGACCACTTTAACTTGGGAATATTATTTGGACCTTGACTTGCCTTTAATACATGTACAAAGGACAGCCCAGAAAACACAAAATAAATTCATTGAAYAAAGTATTTAAGTGTTGATGGTTGTTGCTGATAAAAGCATTTTTGCTGTACTGGGAAATATTCTCTATTTGAAAACACCGGAGAAGATAAGTTTGGAAAAACAGGAAAATAACATCGGGAAAAGGAGAAGGGAAGTGTAGAGAAAAATAAACTCTTTTCTAGTGAGGACCTCAGCATTTTCATAACTGATGACACAAAAAAAGAATTGATGGTTGTTTACATTGGATTAGTTGTGGTTTATGTATTTTATTCTTAAATGTTTTCAGATTGTGATGCTATTGACGACAAGTCTTATGAAGAACTATCGAAAGAAAAGACAAAATACAGATGTATTCTGTGTCGTGGTGAGAAGGAAGAGAGGATGGATTCTTTTGCAAGAAAGAATAGGGGTCATGAGTCTGCCCAAGAGTAGGACCAAATGTATTTTCTGCCTTCTAATTTATTTTCTCAAGTTGAAACGTCTGTACATGTGTATAACCTTGGACATAAATAAATAAATAATATTTGACAAATCTTCTTTTGTTTTAATTGTTGACACTGGGGATAAAGAAAGGGATGAAGTGGTTTGTAAGTTAATTCATTCAACTGCAGGTTGAAGATTTCATTRAATGTTTGGATTATTACGTTCATTGGGGAGTCAATTTCCTGGGATAATTGATGACCTCTAGYAAAACTAGCAACCTATCAAATCAGAGAATCGCAGTTTCACTTGCTGAAGTTATTGGCATGGATGCATAAATCATTTMAAAAAATGTTACTTGTGAGAACAGCAAATGAAGATTGTCGAAGGGAGATTTCACAATGGAAAAGGACTATGATTACACTGTTTTTACAAAATTCACTCATTGGATTCACCTTTCATAGAAATGGAGACTGAATGGAGCCARTGTTTCCCACAGACTGCCYYAAAGTGTAAACCAGTTGTTATTTCTCATCAATTAGCAAAACCCATGGTCACTACTAATAGCTGTTCAACAATTGAATTTACCATTTTATCTGACAACCTTTTTTGAAATAGGTTTATATAYAATAGGAATTATGAATGGAAGTAAACTCAGTACTGCAACAAAATGAACAAGTGTTATACTAAAAATGCATTTATTTGTATAAAAGAACTGAAGAGCCCAACTATTGTACAATTTGTAAAGAGAACCTAGAAATAACATTTAAACAATAGTATAGTACTGCAWTATGGGAATAATCCTTTTTGTCATTAATGACGATTAAAATTCAAGCAATTAATGGCAAAGCATGTCAATAAATATTAATTACTATTTATCAGTGTTTTATTATGTCGATAAAAATTTTCAATAAATAGAATTGTGAAGACTAGCTAATCCTGTGCTTGAGTTGAAATGATGACAATCATTTTTACCTAAAAATGAACATTTGMCTTATTGCCTTACTAATGTAGGATATAGCTGTTTCAAAAAACCTTAGTACTAAATACTACTTTCTGGTTCCCAGCAATGTTACAAAAATGAAAATTCTAAACTTAATTGCTTTCCGGAGCTGGAAAGGTTACTCTGAAAGAGTGAAAATCTCCTTTTTTAACATTGGCATTGAARTAATTCTCATGAAATAATGCCAGCATTGCAAAATATTTAAAATTGTCATAATTTGCTATTGTTGTATATTATAGCAGTTATCACTGAATGTCTCCATTGAAGGCTTATGTATGAAGGCTGAGCAGAAACGTGATATTTGTTTTACACTATTATTACTAGGTGACCTACAAATGTACATTGAGATCTACTTCACTGTACAAGATTGATATCATATTTGTTCAAGGCTATAGTACATCTACATAAATTGCACACACATTGTACAAAGGTTGGATAACATTTTCCACTYCTTTATAGCTTTTGTATGGAATTAATGTGCTGGATGAGGATTTTATCTAATAGTTGTCTTTTGTCTTCCAAGTGTCAAAACTAAAATCTCTGGATGTTTACATGTTATGATAGTAAAGGCAGATTTTGTACAAGTACATAGATGTATTAAATGTTTTCTGAGATTGCGCTTTACCCTGCAGGTAAAAATGTTTGGTGAGTACTTGATGACCATCTCGTCCTTATGCGCCTTGATCTAGAGTGCTCGTACTAAATGCATGAAATATAAATACTACAAAATAGGTGATAAATTATACAAATTCCTTTGTTTCCTATTGTATAATCCACACTATTTAGTAGTAATTAGTACTATTTGTTTCACGGATTAAGTACGTTCACTCTACATGTATGCCCTTTTACAAAATCTGTACTCTACAACTATATAATGATTTTATGTGACGTACAGTAATAATTACTGATATGAGTACTGTCTTCAGGTCACTAAAAATGTATAGTATTAATTTAAACTATTATTGTCATCTCTGATGACATTTCATGGTACTGAGATGTAAAATGATAAACCATAATATTGGAAAGAGCAAAATCATTAACTGGCCACCTTAAACAGGAAATTGCTAGATTATAAAAATAATATGTATTGAATACTGATAAAATACCAATATATTGTATGTACAGTTCAAGGTATTTTCATAGAAAAATGTGGTGTGAAGACATTAGGTGCATTTTTCATCTGTCTGAACTACGCTGTAATTTTTCTTTGCCGCTTCTAGTTTGTGATGTCTGTGCTCTTCAGCCTGAAGCAATTCACTCTGCAAAATGTGGAAAAGTTTTCTTTGTTATGATTTAAACTAAAAATGTGTATCAGTTGGAGAAAACAGCAAAATGCATGATTGGTTCAAGTTTTGCCACTTCTTACAGTAAGACAAGATTGTATCATTACCAGCTGACTTAAAATCAACCATGTTTGTAGAATATATTTGATAGCCTCCTAGTCAGTTTTGTTTCATGGTTGCTCTGAGGGAGTTTGAATGATTGGTTATGCAGGAAAGGCATTTGGCTAAAATTAGATTCAAAATCTAGAAGGAATGATCGAGCTTTATTACCTCTTCATCTGTATCTTCAGTAAATTCTGCTTCTGGAATGGTGTAATCCAAGTGTAGAGCCCGATTCAATTTGCTTTTTTCTGATACTCTGATTTAATAAGATAAATAAAATAAGCTATAAATAAAAAGATTAACAAATGATATTGAAAATTGAAACAATGATGGTGATGATGATGATGATAGTAATAATAATACAAAAAATAAATGATATAATGTAAAATAAAATATTAATACAAAAAACTAARAGTATAGTAAAACAATGAAATACTTAACAAACTTTTTATAGAACAGTAGAGTACATGTAGGTTTGGGAGAAGATAGGAATCTGGGTTTCCTCCACAGATAATGTAAAGTATGGAACTCCGTACCCTTGAGAAAAACTTACATTTCTACAAATTTATTCAGTATATCTTGATTCCAAGTGGTGTTTGTCAGATTTTTGATATCTTKAGAAACCTGTTGGCAATCATAAAAGAAAATGAATGAGAAAATATAATATAGACATACACTGTAGAAATAAAAGTGTGAATCCCTATGACAGTTGTGGTCAACTTATATGATTGTATGAATTAGGTAGCAACAGTTGTGCGAACAGGAAAAGTTGTGCCATGTGAATCAGCATTTAGATACATKCRTCCAATCAAGAGCGCTAAATTTCAGTGAAAATTCCTCGCATCTTTTGTTTCTGCTCATTTGCATAGAACTTGGCACATGTGAGTTTGGTTTTATGAAACAGGTAACATGAAGAATATCAACAATTGATCATTATAAATACCTCATAATTATATCCAAAATGCTCCCAATCATAAACCAAGACTTCCGTTCCCCTATTTCTATAAAATGATAATGGAAAGCTATGTTTTTAWATCTAAAAAGCAAATAAAATAACCAAGGGACTATTAATTGAATCAACAAAAATAAAAGATCTATATTAACTCATATGTGTTGGAGAGATAAATAGACCAAAAGCATGTTTTAAACCCATAAAAGAAGACATGAGAAAAACTATGAACTGCTAATATTCTGTACTTAGTAATTGTATGTCTATATGAGAATAAAATGATAGTTTTACCTCATATCATTCAACATGTTCTTGTAGGCTTTATCAAGACCTTGAAGGTATGCTAGAGGAATGCCACTTTCATAATTCTAAAATAATGTATTAAGTGAGTGTTTATTGAAAGCAGCTCATATGAACAATTTTTCTTCTTGGTAGGAGAGTACGGGCAGGCAAGGGTGRCAAACAAAGTGTGCCTGGTCGTGATTAGTTTTAGTTGAGCATTCTGCAATATTTTATAAATCATGACACTCACTCTGCCTCTGCCGTGAATCCTTTCAAAGCAAACATCAGGTGAAGCATCAATGTAGATCAACACATTGGGTAATGGCAGACACCTGAGAGCTTTTGACTTTAACTCATTGTAATATCTATACCCTAAAAATAATAAAAAAAAAAAATACCAGGAAAAAGAAAACAAATCAAATTCAACATATTATTGTCTATTGCAATATTTAAAGGATACATGTATATACATTTTATTTAATATACAATAATTTAGACAATAATTTTACCTTCTTCTGATATAGTTCTCTCTTGATAATTCACATCAGCAAATACACAATCACTGAACACTGAACGATCTAATAACACGCCTTGGCCTAACATAATATAACAAAAGCAATGTTAGTATTTCCCTGAGTAGGGGAAGTCCCTAAAGTCACATGATCTTTGTTTTCGAACTTATATGTTTTCACTTGAAAATTAGGGGAAAATGCTTTCGTTTTGTGTACTTAAATTTTTATAAAATAGTACTTTTTATATTAAAGGATATGTTTTTGAAAATATATCAATATAATTAGATAGCAATTATAATCAAAATATACCTGTTTCTAGCAAATGTTTTGCGGCATTTGCGTACATGTGAAACCTTTGTCGAAATATCCATAGTTGCAGCTTCAAAGCRTATTTCTTTGGGTCTTGGTAAAACTTCGCTAAGTATGGATTCTTTGTGGTCGGTTCAAGGAACAGTTTATAGTTGAGCTTTCGCGCCAGTTGACAAGCTAAAGTCGTCTTACCAACTCCAATGTTACCTTCCAAGATTATCAACTTCTCCACAGGCTGTGAAAGCTGGACGTTCGAGCTTGAACATCTTTGAACGAAGTTTCTTGTAATTCCGATCATTTTAGGTAACTTCTTTCTCACTCGGACACGTCTTGTTGCTATAAATGGGGAGAAAACGAATAATCCTTTCTTTAAATAGCGAAGCATTGCGAAGAAAAACCCGCACATTCAAAACAAAAACAAAATCGATAGCGAAGAATCCAATCTTCTCGTCTTTATTTATGGCGGCTGACTTGTTTCGAAGCTTTCACTTGCTTGSATCCGACGAAGAATCGAAAGAAGTCTCCAAGACTTCATTCGATTTACTGCACAGCATAGCCTAACTAGCAAGTTGTAATTACTCAAGGAGAGCGAAAGTGAAAATGCGTGTAAATGTGCCGTGACTTGTTTTTTTTTCAGCTTAATCAACTCGAATTTGCCGCGCAAAATCTTCGAGAATCAACAAATCGTGATCGACCTTMCATGTACAAAGGAGAAAAACATCATATACCGATCTCCCAAACGAAGTGATAACTATGTCAATAGTTCAAGCCGTGATAGTCTCTGGAGTCTAGGAAGAGTATTTCATTGGATGAAATRTTTTGAATTTTGAACTCACCTCGTTTCCCTCGCTTCTTCTTCATTCAAACTCCCGCCAAAAACAATCCTTGGCCAGGCTACCAATTTGGTCGCCCCAGTCTCTTTCCACAGGACAGACATATATCTGATATATGACCTTTTTCTTACCATTTATATTAAGGATATTATTTAAGCAAGATGGATTTAACAAGAGTTAAYCTTCTTATAGCACAGTTTCTTTTCGAAAACGGTTACAAAGATTCTTTAGATGTCTTCGAGAAAGAAAGGTAAGCTTAACGTTTTGTACACAGGCACCCCAAAATACACTTCAAGGTGACTTCCTTCGCATCAGGCTAAATTAAAAATTTTGATGTTTTGATATCAATTTAGATTTACTGTAATTTTAAAGTTACAGTCAAGTACTAGATAAATTCTTAATATTCTTTACTGTTGCTCTTTTCATTGTGAAGTACACTATTTTTGAGCTCAACAAAATATTCACAACAAAATCTCCATCAATCATAACTTATCTTTTTTTCATTTGGGAGGGTTAGGAAGTGGCCGGAGTGCATTCTTTAAACAGATACATACTTATTTATGCCTTTAATGTTTATTGTTTAGTGGTGTTAAGTTTAAAGATGWACAAAGTACAAAGACGTCAGAACTTCTTTCAATTCTGGGTAAGAATGAAATGGCTAGTTAAACAATACTTATTAAATCACAAGGTTGCTTGGCCAAATAGAGTATCAACTCACAGCTCAATAATTATTTGCATTTGCTGATGAGTCCTTCAAAGGCGAAACGTTTGAAAAAATAAAGATCACAGAATAATTGTTCCTCCAGTAGTCATAACTTTTCCAATAGATCCACATCCAAGGCATATATGGCAACACATATGTTCTCATTGTATGATTAATTTGCTTTGTTTGATGCAACCATTGTGTTACATGAATATACCATAGTTCAGTAGCCAATCAGAATGGTGGATAAAAATGATATTAAAGTGCCTATGACGCCTGACAAAAAATTTTCTGATTCTCTGTGAACTGATTCTAGATAAAGTAAATAATTGAATGGTGAAATATTTCAGCATTTCAGTGTTGCGTCTTTGAGTTTTGAAGGTTTAATCTTCCAATATGCTAATGGTAATGACGTCAAGGGAGGCTTCATTTAAATATACGAATAGAAAATAAAGAAATTTGCATAACAGAAAGAATGGCCCTTTCCCAAGATGTTAACCCCCTTATAAGCAACCATTTTCCAATAACAGCAATTTTCTCCTAAATCCAAGGGTGGTTTCTCACTGTCTTTCATTTCTTCTTTATAAATAATCTTCTTTATAAATAACTTTTAACAGCTTTGTAATATTTAGATGAATACAAAGAATTAACAAGAGAAAGGATTCACTGTAAACCTCTGGTGAGTGTTAGATCATCAATACTGTTACACTTAATTGAAGAAATTGTCAGGTCCAAAAAGGTCAAATCATAGAAGCTAAGACTGAAAGGGTACTTGGGAAGACAAACAATTTGGCTAATTTCATAACAAACAGCTCTCCAGCATAAAAGACTGTCATGCTGTTAATCTTACTAGCTCTACTTGCTTAGTATACACCGTATATGCAAATGTAATCCCAATTTAGTGGTACTCAAAATCCCTTTCGGTCTTAGCTTCTATGATGTGACCTTTTCGAACACAACTACGTTTTTTCAATTAGGTGTATTGTTGCAGCATTTCCCATTTTTTCCCATTTTGACTGTATAGGATAAAATGTGCATACCCTGCCATTGTGTTAAATAGTTTGGGATAATGAATTTAAAATGTTTTATTTTTTATAGGAAATCAAACCTGGAGATGGACAATACTGTAATGATGTAGGTTATAACACAAGATGTTTTAAAAATAGTGGTCAGCTTGCAGGTTTTTCATTTTTTCTCTCATTTGGGCTGGGATGCTGGTGGCTGTACAGTTAGACAAATCATGAATAACATGTAAATGTTATTTAATTTCAGCTGTTGTTAGAAATTCCAGGACTTGTTGGAGGCAGCAATATTTTGGCTGTGAGATTGACCTTTGACGGAAGTATGATATTTTATTTTCATATCAAAATAGTCCCCAGTGGGATCATCCTAATCCTATTTGACAATTTTTTAACAAAATTTGCATTGCTTCTGTGTTGGCACTAAAATGAACAAATTGTTACCCTATCCCAGACAAAAATATGTACCATATCCCAGACAAAATGTCAAAAAGAGATGAAGYGATCCATACATTTATTAATAATCGCTTGGATTATTATCCACACTGCAACGATCATATGAATCATTGCACAGCATTGTTTAAAACTGTTCTCAGAATTATATGCCAAATCAAATTCGATGTTTTCTTGTAGTYCTTTTYGCAGGTTCCACACAGGGCTTATTATCAGTGTTACAGCTCAAAACACCTCTTTCAAAGGAAGCAAATAATTTGTCATTACCCTCGGAAGTTCAACTACACTCTGCAGGGCTTATTGCTATTGATATCTTCTCAACAGAATCAAGGTATTGAATACCAGAAAGGAAGGAAGAAATTTGGAAAAACTCTAAAAGATATGTTATCCCATTGTGGCTTTTAAACCCCCGAGACACAATTAACATTAACACCCTTCCCTGTTAAAATTTCAAAAGGTTTTCAGTAAACCATTCACTGCAACATTGATGCCGTGAGGGGAGGGGAGGGGTTTATCAATTATGCGAAATATCAACCAAAAGTAATACCTAATATCAGTTATTCGAAATGATTTTTCTCGTGAAAAAATATTACGAAAAAAATGCTCATATATTTAATTCAACTACATGGTGAAAACGCGAAAATTACTGCCCTCGAAATAGTACGAATAAGGTAATTGAAAACTCGCAACACATATTATTATCCAAGGTTGTATCAAGCAAATCATTAAAGTACATACAAGATTAACTAAGCGTAGTTAGAGAAAAATTTGAACATTAAGTTATAGGTCTAACAAAAATGGATTTTCTAAAATAAAATRCTTTTGAACTTGCAGGCACCTAATCCTCACCGGAAGCATGGACAGAAAATGTTGCTTGTTAGAGATGAAACACAATGATGATGAACCAAAGCTTCTCCAAACATTTCAAGACCATAACAAGTAAGTCTAGTCATAAGGAATTATTTTAGAGACAGTATAGAAAAGAATATGATCTCTCTATCAGCATAATCTATTAACTATGCTATCAGTGACAGGCCCGTCGACGACGTATCATGAAAAGTTCTGACTCTAGTCTTGATACGTTATGAGAACATATTTTTTAAAAAACTTCCTAATCCAATTTTTTTTGCGAAGATTGTTTCTCTGAGGYACCCGCAGTATGAACATTTGACTTTCTGCAAGTCATTTACCCTTCCCATAATACAGATTTTTTTCTGACAACCAGTATAATGACTGTCAAATATGGCACATCACTCCGCATACGAATAAAATACTGATCGTTTTTGTAACACTAGCTGATAAACGACCTAGAAGACTTTAAAGTGAAAACAAGTCACAACCTTTGGTACACAACCCAGTTAAAGAACAAAMGTGTTGTCRTTTTTGCTGTACTGATTTTCTTCAAAAAAAATATAATCACCCAAAAACTGCAAAAAATGGCGTTTTCAGATAGTTTAGTCGTGGAAACTTCTATGAAAAAAAAAGGAAACGAAGAAAACACAGCAAAAGAAAAGGACAAACGACGATAAGAAATGGSATCAAAGAGAAGGAGGTGAAAATCTTCTCCGTCTCAAATTCCCTTGCAATCATAATTTACTTGAACCCAGTAATCACAAATTACCTAATTTCTCCCAGAATCAACCGACGTCCGAAAAAGCGACCGTATTGATTTTTGTTAAGCATGTTAATTGTCAAATAATTATTTTTATTTTCCGTAGATTTGTAGTCAGAGTAAGATGGTCGCCTTCTGGAAAGTACTTTGTCACGGCATCCTATGATCGTACCATCTGTATTTACAGGTAAAGAAAATCATAGGCCGCCCAACTGTTGCTTGAGATAAAGAAGAGAACGAATGAGTACACACTTTTCTGTTATCGGCGTGTTCTCTTAGCAAAATGTGGTATTAGTAGTAAGCAAAGGATGTTTCGACCCCCGAAAATAGGTGGTAGGTGGTAGGTGGGTATGCAAATGAGGAAAAAGTGATAGGGGAGGGGTGGTGAAAACGAGTAGGTGGTATAAATTATTTTAGTAGGTGGGTATGCTAATGAAGTCAAAAGTGATAGGGGAGGGGTGGTGAAAACGAGTAGGTGGTATAAATTATTTTAGTAGGTGGGTATGCTAATGAAGTCAAAAGTGATAGGGGAGGGGTGGTGAAAACGAGTAGGTGGTATAAATTATTTTAGTAGGTGGGTATGCTAATGAAGTCAAAAGTGATAGGGGAGGGGTGGTCAAAACGAGTAGGTGGTATAAATTATTTTAGTAGGTGGGTATGCTAATGGAGTCAAAAGTGATAAGGGAGGGGTGGTCAAAACGAGTAGGAGGTAATTCATTATCATAAAATTGTGGGCAATCTAATTATGCAACGTTAGTGTTGATAAATCGAGGGCAACCCTGTCATACAACTTATGTGTTGGTAATCTAATTATGCAATGTTGATAATATTTTATGTCAAGGTTCAGCGATCGCATAAATTAGTATCTGAAGAAAAGGTTAATGATCACTTTTGTTCTGAGACAATAGGTCACCTGCTACAGGAGTTTGAATAACCAAAAATTATGATTTTCAGCCTTTTTATATTTCTAACTATTGATTACTATACCTCACTTTTATTGTAAAGGCATTCATTACTTTGAAAACTTCCGAGAGGCCCGGAAAGGACCGGAAAGGCCCGAAGCTGTCCGAAAGTTCCGGAAAGGACCGAAGCTGTCCGGAAAGGCCCGAAGCTGACCGGAAATGGCCCGAAGCTGACCATAGAATGAGCTCCTGTTTCATCAGCATTTTAAAATAAGCAACAACAATGCAATCATTTATTTCAGTTGTTTTTTATTTTTCAATTCATCAGT